TAGTTGTAAGTGAATTGTTGTTGGTGTAGTTAGTATGTGATTTTTTATATCATACTGTATGCAATAGTATAAGTGAATTGTTGTTGGTTTAGTTAGTATGTGATTTTTTATATCATACTGTATGTAGTAGTGTAAGTGGATTGTTGTTGGTTTAGTTAGTATGTCACTTTTGTATTAGTTTGGTAGATACGTGCAACACAGTCAAAGAATTCTAGATTTATACGTACAAGCATGACATTTGGCATAGTTGTAGACCATGGCCGAGAGAATGTTTTTAGAAATGGAACCATCAAGAAAAGAGCTTATGTTACCTTTGGTAGACATTTTAAAAAATGGCTGCCAAAAAAATTTAATGACAGTAAAAAATGGACATTATATTACAGCTAAATGCACTTAAATGTTGCCATACGCAAATACAGTGCTTTATTTGTAAAAATAATAGTATTGATATATATAAGAAATTAAGAGATGAAAAAATACTGAATTACCTTTTTTAGAAAATTCCAAATTTTCATCATGTTCTCATCTGATGCAATATCCCGACTTTGTTCCTTGCTTTTGGTGTCTACTGCGGAGCAACCATGAATCTACGTATTTTTTGGGTCAAAGCATGAAAGGAGTGGTCCAACAAGTTTAATAAACAAAAGTTCCGAAACAGTTTTTGTCATGGTTGGGGTAACAATCAAAATCATCTATGAAAACCCTTGTTCACATTCACTGGAAGAATTATGAATAGTACTAGGAGCATGTTTCAAATGCTGCAGTTTTTCCAGAACTATCTTTTCAATCAATTACTGAAAAAATCCATGAATCATATCTCTTTCATATAGTTGAAGTCTTATTTATATTTTTTGACCTCCATCTCGCCGAATGTTAAATGAGCATCAACATTTTAAGGCCAGTGTTTTCTATCAAGCATGTGTGCACACTGTGCTATATCGCCATCTTCACTCTCAAACAACCTATTTTCAATAGTTTTTTTTCAAGATTCTGTAAAAAAAGCTTCCGGATTAATCAGAAGATTCTTTTTACAATTTTTGTTGTGAAGTGAAACTCCCCAGAAGTGAAAATTACTGGCGGCTTCGGTGGCATTTTTATAATATGGGCTTAGAATCATTCGTCTTTCTTCAGAAATTTGTACAAGAGCTTTTATCTTTTGATCTGCCTTGTACAAGTCTATATTGCGCTCTTGTAAGTCCAAACTCAGTTCAGATAATTCTTGGAGAGCATCACACATCAATCCTAGATCCAATAGAGATAATTCTTGGAGAGCATCACACATCAATCCTAGATCCAATAGAGATTCTGTATTTCTAATTTTTTGCTGTAAGCCCTCATAGGCACATTTCTCTTTTTTGTCTCTTGTTAAATCATGCTTCACTTCTTCGAAATGTTGCATTAATGCTTCATTAACTGAAATTGACCGAAAACTAGATGCCACCCATTGAGTGCTTAAAATTCGGCCAATTTTTAAAAGTTGAATCTCCAGCAAGTTAGCACACACTTTCAGTTTTCTGCTATTTTTAGGCAACGCATGATACAAGACATGAAGTTTATCAATAAACACTTTAAATCTGTTGATCCCTGAGACTGATTTTACAGCATCACCGACCGACAGTTCTAATCTGTGATTAGCACAGTGCCACACACTTACAGAAGGAAATTTGTCTTTCATCAGTTTCTTAACTCCACTTTTACTCCCCAACATCACAACTGCATCATCACATGCCACACAAAGTAAATAACTTTTCAGGTAGTCTTCATTCATTCCTGCCCCCAGTGGCACAGCGGTATGTCTACGGACTTATAATGCTAGAAACTGGGTTTCAATACCTGTGGTGGGCAGAGCACAGATAGCCCATTGTGTAGCTTTGGGCATAAATTCAAACAAACCATCATTCATTCCATAAGACTGAAGACAATCAAGTAAAGAATCAAAAATTCCTTTTGCAGTAACATTTCCAAGTTCGATCAAGTCCAAAAATAAATTTACCGGTGAGTTCATTCCATTACCCGGGATATAGATTCGAATGTACACTATTAAGGTAGATTTTTTACTCAAAGACATTGACTTGTCGATTATCAATGAAATTCTACTTTTCGATTTAGTAATTATATTAATTAGTATTTTTTTAATTTCATCACTAACGTGATTGAAGATGTTAATACATGCTTTTGTTGAGTAAAGGATACAGCCCATGTCAATTACATTTAGTTCTTCTAAATCTGTTTCAGATTCAAAATTATGAAATGATTGGTTTTCTTTTGCTACCTTCTATGCTGTGCAAAAAATTGTTGCGGTAATTACTTTTCATGAGATAATGCTTTCAAACACACACATTTTTAATGGTCTCTTTCTCAGCTTCAGTAAGCAATTATACTGCAGCTTTATGTCTCACAGTGTCCTTGTGATCAAAAAGTTTTTTCCACAAAGGCAGAAACTGTCAACTTTCACCAAAACAAGTTATTTCATTGTTGGCCCATTCTATAGAAACTTTTATTCCTGCCTTCGTTTCCACTCCACATGTTTCAATTTTATGGCAAGGTGTATAGCCAAGTTTGTTATTTCTAATATTCAGCCAATTGTACTTCCTGCAAAAATAATTTTTTTGATTGGCAGTCCATCAGCTAGGTCAGTCATTGTCAGATAGCTCGTGGACACCAGATGGACCTGGAACAGAAACTGTCACTGACACCATTAATTCCTGTTCTTGGGTCACTTCCTCACTTAATCTAGCTTTCTTATTCACAGAAGGTGAAAAGAAACTTGTAATTTGTTTCATTTTTATGTTGGGGTGTTTTCTCAATACACAATAAAAATGATATATACTCCCGGTCACAGTAAAATCAAAGCACAGTAGAAGAGAAACATAGACCTGCTCAAATTGGAATCACCACATCAACTGAGCATGTCAGACCAAAATAACTTATTCCTGAGACTCTCACACATATTTTTATCTTGGCTGAGAAGGTGCTGTGCGATTAATGACGTCTATCGTCTTCGTCCACTTTGTGACTTACTTGAATGAATGTACAGTCTCGACCCGCATACCAGTCAACTTGGCTTGTGGTCACTTGTTTCCCAGTCCCAAGCGGTCCCTTTGAACTCAATATTGCATCCACCCAAGCCAACTCTGACCTGCCACTGCTCAATTGAAACCTGTCAATCAAAGTGAGGCCACTACTGTACATCAACTGATAGAGGCCACATCTTGTAGGTGTTAAAACCAGGTGATCATTGATATTCCCTATTAATGGCATGCTAATCCTACCTGATACATCACACTTCTTGCTGCACTGATGATCACACACACATCATCAAACAAATAGTAAGTTTTCACACTCCTTTAAACTTTGTCATTTGTAACATTTCTAGTTTGGCATCTCTTTGGGGAAAATTCACTCATTAATTTACATTACTCTTTTAAGTTTTGTCACTTTTCTCCATTTTTCAATATAAAAAATGTTGCCGTGCGCTGTACTGGTGTGTACTATCTCAGAAATATATCAAATATATCATTTAAAAACATGATCTTCGTTTATTTACAATAGAAACAAGAAACAACATATATCTAAAACTTGGGTAAAAAAGTGCTGAGTCAGCAAAATATGAAATTATATTATATAATTAACTTTAACTTCCATTGATTTATCGTCGGTTAGGCCAACATATTGTTATTTTTAGGTTTACAGGAGAAAATATTAAAAAGTTGCATAGGAGGAGGAAAAACAAATTGGAAATATTAATCTGTAATAATAAAAGGGCATGTCTGTGTGTATGTGACTGCCATAACTCCAAGAGGAAAGAACCTAGAAACCCAACATTTTGTACACACATTAATTGGACCTTGAGGGTGTGCACCTGGGTATCATTACTTATCCACATGTGTGTGCACATGCACATATGCACTCCCACCAACCAGAGTGCCCCTTCTACAACATATCAAGAGGTCTGTGTAGCAGGACGGTCACTGCCTCCCCAACAACTGGGAATGGACTGATCCATTGAACTGGAGACCTAAATGAATGATTTTGCCTGAAGCCAGCAATGCATCAAGAGAAGTCATTTGCTGCAGTTGCAAGAAAGATTGCAGAGGTCACTGCATCTGTAAGAAAGCAACATTAAAGTGCACTGCATTGTGTCAACCTTGTGGCAGACAAGACTGTGACCTGTGAGTTGCACGGCATCACAGCCAATGACTATTAAAGTTTATGTTAATTTACAATTTCATATTTTGCCGACTCAGCACTTTTTTACACCCCCCCCCTGTCCCATTAGCATAGCGGTATGTCTGTGGACTTACAATGCTATAAACCAGGATTTGATACCCATAGTGGGCAGAGCTTAGATAGCTCATTGTGTAGCTTTGTGCTTAACTTCAAACAAACAAACAAATAGATTTTCTTACCAAAGTTTTGGATATATATTGTTTGTTGTTTTTATTGTAAATAAAAGAATATTATGTTTTTGATTGATATATTTGTGTTTATGACAACATTTAATATAATGCCAATTTTTCAATGTTATAAAAATTTATGGCAGCCATTTTTTAAAATGGCCACCAAAAGTAACATAGGCCTTTTTCAAAAATGGCTCCATTTCTAGAAATATTCTCTGGACCATGGTCTACGTACAACTATGCCAAATTTCATGCTTGTACGTATAAACCCATGATTCTTACACATATTTGCCTCACTATATCAATATATATCCATTAGATTAGATGAGTTGCTGTTGGTTTAGTTAGTATGTGACTTTAGTGTCATAATATACCCAGTAGATTAGGTGAGTTGCTGTTGGTTTAATTATTATGTGACTTTAGTGTCATAATATACCCAGTAGATTAGATGAGTTGCTGTTGGTTTAGTTAGTATGTGACTTTAGTGCCATAATATACCCAGTAGATTAGGTGAGTTGCTGTTGATTTAATTAGTTTGTGGTTTTAGTATCATAGTATATTGAGTAGAACATGTGGGATGCTGTTGATTTAATTAGTTTGTGACTTTAATATTATAGTATATCTAGTAGTTTAGGTGGGTTGCTGCTGGGTTAGTTAGTGTGTGTTTTAAGTACCATACTATATTTAGTAGATTAAAAGGGTTGCTATTGGTTTAGCTGATAAGATTTGGCAGATTACATTGATGTTACTAAATATTTCTGTACACAGTACTCCATTTAAATGTTAAGAAAAAATTATTGCATCTGAACTCATTCGTTGTAATGTTTTTATTTTGTTATGAAAATTATATTTGCATGAGACAAATTCTTTCATTCATTTAAAAAAAAAATATTTTTTAATGTGTATTGATTTGTTAGGCAGAATATTCATGATAAACAGAGTTCAGTTAATGATGAAAGACAGTAGGATATCAAAATATGGTCCTTTCCACCTGAGCTACTTCTGTAGATTAGCCCTGGGTCACTTTGAACTAGGCAGTAGCCATCCATATTACCTTTGTTTAATGTGTTGTATTTCAGCATTAAGCGTACATCAAACACAACTGTTCCATAAATGCAAAATTAAATTAAGTACATACATATATAGTACTATTATGATTATAGTATTTTGTGTTTTAAAAAAAATCCAACCAATTTTAGAAGATCTGAGAAGCTACAACAGCAGCGAGCCAAAGAAAGAAGAGAACAGTACAAGCAAGTAAGAGCACATGTCCAAAAAGACGATGGTAGGATGCAAGCATATGGATGGAGCTTACCTTCCAAAACTATTGTTCCTGGGTCTAAAAATCAAGCAGGCAGTAGTAGTAGTAGTGATACTTCCAAGTCCAATTCTTCCAATGTCCCAGTCCCTGTGCCAATTTATTGCCGTCCTCTCCTGGAGAAAGAGCCTGGAATGAAGGTTTGTAACATGACAATATAACTTCATTAGAAAATACTAATAAAGTCTTTCTAGTGGTAAAAAACATTACTAGCACAACTAGTTATGTAAGCCTTGGTAGTGACAAAAGACTTTAAGTCAAGAAGGGATGATTCAATTTTTTGTTGCGTATTACAGAGTGACTCATTCTTTGTACTTGTAGTTGGAAGATTGTGAGTCCAGAGCTTGCTTATGACTTGTTGTTGTTTCCTTGAGCAAGACACTTTACCCCAAAAGTTTCAGTTTACTCAGTGAGTAGCTGGGGGTTAACCTATCAATGAACTGGCATCTCTTCCAGAGGGAATGTGTTACCATTCTCATCTTCTTGTGCCATTGAAATGAAACTGGAACTCAGCACCAGCTCATACCTGCCATCTAGGCATAGGATGGTTTGACTTGAATAAGGTATGGGGATACAATGTTACACCTTTGTTTTTTGACAAAGTAGATTTTTCTAAGAAATCATGGGGGGGGGGTTCAAAAGTTATAGCTATTTTATTTTATAGTGTGATGTATAAAAGCACATAAATGATTACATCATAATTATAATATATGAACATAGTCTAAGAATCTGTAAAGTGTTCCCTTTTAACTTGAATGTTTACCGATTCATACAAATACATTTGTATGCAATCATTGAATGTTTACTGATACATACAGAAATATTTATGTACAACTTCCTTGAAGCATAATCCACCTTCTTATCATATGTAACAGTAATTCTTTTCTTTTACTCTTAGAAAGATAATGGACTTCATAGTTTCTATTAGAAAATTTTCCCTGGAAATATCTATTTTGATGATATGTGATTTTCCAGAGAAGATGCAATGAAAAATTTAAATATTCAAGGAAAGACAAAATGAAGCTCATAATTGAAGTACAGAGAGATCCAAACATTATAAATTGGAAAATAAAGCTAGCATCTCAAAGTAACTCTCTATGGGAGGATGAAAACTACCACAAAAGATGCTATAATAGCTATATGAGTGAAAAGCATTTAGAAAAATAAACAGAAAAGTATTAATAACAAGGGTCATATCTCAGGACTCTCACATCTGACAGAAGATAAGAATGCCATTCCAAAGTTTGTCATGGAAACTAGAATAAAATGATCCAAATGGATGTTCTGGTAGGAACAGGGAGGGTAACTGAAACAGTTAATGACAATGGATACATATGTTCAAGACTATTATGAGTGGTTGATAGAGTATTCATAAAATGAGGGTAAGATAGTAGGAATAAATTACTTGAGGTAAGTATAATCTCAAGTGTTAGGCAAGGTTTAAGTAAGAAGTTGAAAAATCTGTTTCAGAAGTAAGCATTATCGAAATATGTTTTCGGACTTGTTGGAAAACAAGTTGAGAAATCTGTTGCATTATGGATAGATGTTTTCGGACTTTTACATGATTCCTCTGATTTTTGTCAACAAATATCATTTCGTACCTTGAACCTAAATACATGTTGAAAATACTGGATTATTATAATTTTCTGATGAAACAAACCCACATAGCACTTAAAAGACAAAAAAATGGATTTCAATCATCAATTGTGGAGGTTTTTTGATATTTCTCAACTTTTCACCCCTGTAGCACCATCCTGGAAAATATTTCCTAATAGTTGCTTAAATCAATGATTTAAAGCATATGCTTGTACCTACATGATTTGAGAAACTCATTTTCTAGGAATCTTGTATTTTTCATTAAAAGAGACATTGATGATACAGCTTTTCATTAAAAGAGGCTTCTTGAACTATTACAGTGTTCAGAGACATTATAGGTACAGTTTTTCAGAGATTGTAAATTGCTTGTAGGGAATTCAGCATCAGAATAAACTTTTGTGTTATAAAAACAAGTTAAACTATTAACTTTTGTGTTATAAAAACAAGTTAAACTATTAACTTTTGTGTTATAAAAACAAGTTAAACTATTAACTTTTGTGTTATAAAAACAAGTTAAACTATTAACTTTTGTGTTATAAAAATAAGTTAAACTATTAACTTTTGTGTTATAAAAACAAGTTAAACTATTAACTTTTGTGTTATAAAAACAAGTTAAACTATTAACTTTTGTGTTATAAAAACAAGTTAACTGCAGGTGGATTTTTTTCTAACATTCCTTGTAACTTGTCCATTACAGCTGAAAATCAGTGATGTGTAAAAAATAGCATTCCAGATCTATCTTTTGTCTTCCACAAGTTGCTGTCTGATAAGATTTTCATTCAATAACAGAACTTAACAGCTGGGCTGGACAATGAGAGACAAAAAGATTCCATGAAACACTATTTATACAGAGACATCTCAAAAGTAAATAGACACCATGATGTTTATTCAATAGTCATTTAATTAAAAGAGGCATCCAACGGCTCCCATGGCCAAGTCAGTCACCTGATATGAATCCCAATTGAGCAAGTATGGGCCAATGTTCGAGCAGTGAGAGGAAGTTCCAGAAAACCAGCATCCCGTGGAAAGCTACTTGATGTTTTGCATGCAGCCTGGGTCAAGATCCGACAGGAGAAAATTACAGAACTCGTCGATTCCGTGCCAGAACGAGTCAAAGCACTGAAAAATGCTAGTGGCAAATTGACTAAGTACTGATGCACATTTGTAAACATATTTGTCAAGTTGATAATGTGAGATAACTGACTATTGAAAAAAATTATGGTGTCTATTTACTTTTGAGATGTCTCTGTATATGCAGTCTACTAAATATTGGAAAACCAGTTGGCTTTACTAACATTTTGCTGGCTTTCAGCATTTAAAGTATATTTATTTCTTTGTAGAGACACAAAACTTTGCTGGTATAAGTCTTTATTAGAACAAATAATAACTTTTATAGTAACAAGATTGTTTACTGTTACAACTTTTCATTAGCAGAGACTAATAAAGATGTGTAGGTTAGAGTTTATTTAAATTTAATGAGCATTATTTACTGATTTGAATGTGTTATGGCCTTTTTATAAGCTATATGTTCCCCTAATAGAGAAATTATTGTGTTAAAATAAATATGCTTTGGACCTCCATAGTATGAAGTATACCAGTCATGTTATGTTTGCTAAGAAGCAGTCATACATTTGATAAAGTCTGCTCATATGTTGCGAAATGTTTATCAGTGTCAGGTGGTTCTGCTTCCATTCAACTTTCTGTCTCTACGAAACACTCAACTAGAGCATCGTGGGAATGTCTCAGCCTTAATGCTCTCAAATAAGCAGTGGTGTTACTAGTGGAACCTTCATTTTGCACTATGGTGTTATCAGTGTAAACTTCCAGTTTGGTGCCATACTACTGGTCCCACATTCATTATGTACTATATTACCCCACCCTACTCTGAAACTGTTCATATCATTTTTACCTTCCTGTACAGTCCAAGTTGGTCAAGGATGATTCCCTCTGCTTAGCAAACAGTTTAATTACAACTGTTTATATCATAAATTGGTGGAAGTCTATCTTTAATTACATGATCATCTGCTCAACTGGAATTTTATGGGATGGGTCAACCAGATGACAACCAAAAATGCTTTAATGTCCTGTTTTATATGGACCAATATTCTTGCGCTATACTAAACACCATGTGATGTATGCTTAGCCCATCATGGTGCAGACTCAACCATATTCTCAAAGTTGGAAATATCAATTATGCTAATCAAATCAGTTTGTTTACTTCATGTGACACTAAGGGATTTGATAGCATGCATTTATACGTTTGGCCTTGGAGTTTCCAAAATACATGCACCTCTTGACAAAAAAGATATATAACCTAAATTGTATTTTTTTATTTCTTGTGCTTGTATAAGTAACATTAACAGTGCCATAAATTGATGAGGTACAATAGATTTTCTATCTGGAAGTTGACTAATATTCAGGAAGCAGATGTTATAACGTCTTTGTTCTTGATTGTTTTCTTGAAGTGGTTGTTAATATTTTAATTGGTTAGATTCTCACTAATTGTCCATAACTTTGGTGTAACACATTGACAAACATGGGTGTCTTTTCTCTTGAAGTGACTATTAATATTTTAATTGGTTAGGTTCTCTATAATTGTCCATAAATTAAGTGTGTAACACATTGACAAGCATGGGTGTCTTTTCTCTTGAAGTGCCAGTTAATATTATAATTGGTTAGGTTCTCTATAATTGTCTGTAAATTATATACGTAATGATATATTAAAAGCAGCAAAATCTACTACAACTAAATACTAAACTGTAATATAATGGCATGCACAAAGCATTTGTCTGTATCTTTATAAGATTAATATTTGTCCCACCTCACCTGCAGTCTAATATTACAAATAGACCAGACTAGCATTTAGTTGATTTGTTTTTATGCTTGTCTGTTTCAATTGTGGAAGTATAAATTATAATGAGATACTGCACCAGGTTTAAACTTTGTATATAAATTGGATAAATTACCGTGAACACTGCTGTGAAAGATAAAAGTTATTTTATTGCTAGGCTTAGTTTAACTTACACAAAATTTAAAAACTTTTGTGATAATAGAGATTTTACCAACCAATTAATACACTTGTTACTTCGATTTAACAAGGTGAACTAAAAATATTTGTTTTGTTTGTTATCATGTCTAGCTAAGTACTGCAGTCTTAAGCTACCTCAGCACTTATTTTTTATGCTGTAAAAGGAATTCCATGTTGCGTGTATGACAAAACTGAACCCAAGATGCTATGGCTATTTGCTGTTTAATTATTTTATTGTCTGTGTGTAGCAATTCTCAGTTGCATGAATTCTTTCCACTATTGATAAAACAACTTAAAATTTTGTATGTAGGCTGTTGACCCACGCAATATAAAGAAAGAGAAGCAGTTTTGAAAGATTCATTAGATGGTCCCACATTGAGAGGGGGAGAACAAAAGTATCATACCCATCTGCCTCTTCTCAGTACCCCCTGTTGAGATGAATGTTTGTGTAAATCTGCTTTGGCAGTATATCTCCATATTTGAAATGGCCATTTCTGCACCTTTCACCTATATCTATCTCATGTAAGTATTTCACCAAGATTGAATGGCCTAACATCCTGTCCTCATTCCACACATTCTCTCATTCCACACATCTTTGCGACATGTTCCCACTAGCACTGGATTTATCAAACATCCTTTACTTACTATATGAATGAATAATAACAACAAGTTGGGGAATTCTCTGCTTGAGAAGGATGTGGTAACCCACTAGGTACTGCTCCACCAGGTGACCCCTATTGTCATGAAAGCCACACCCTTTCCATTTCTGTTGCTAGTTCAGAAAGGAGCTCTTCTGAATAAAATTGGTCTGCACTGGCCCTTCCTTCATCTTCACTGTGGGATTATAGCTCTTAGTGGTGCTGAGATGTAAGGAGTATTTCTGAAGTTAACATTTTCCTCCTCACACCCTTCCTCCTCACTTCCAGTGTATTATGTTTGCGTCGTCAAGAATGAGCCTATGTTCATGTGCTGGTGCTCACGGAGATTACTGCATATGGAAGTTTTTTTGCCCTCATATTTATGGAGGGTTACAGCATTATGAAGGTTAAATCATAGGTTTGTACAATACATATAGACACATGCATAGAGGTAAGTATCTATCTGAAATAAATTTTCAAGACATGAACTTTAAGTGTTTCAAAAATTAGCCTTGCAAATTAATTGGTATGATTTTTAAAGTAGTAAAAACTTGACAGGAAATGTTTTAATCATGGTTTAATGCTCTTTAAAATCTTTGACATGAACACTCGTTCAAAGAAATTAAAAGGTTAATTTGCATGTATGAAAAAGAATGATTTTACTAGGCTTATGTGTAATAGTGTGTGTTACGGAATGATCCAAATTGAGTTATCTCGACAGGTGGATGAAAAGTTATCATAATATACTACACAAATTTTCTGTGCTTAACAGTTTTTTAGTAAGTTTTATTTAAAATTGTATTCAAATTATAAGAATCATAGAAATTTCCTTTTTTCCCCCCCATCAGATTTGGTGTGCATCAGGGGTTAATATTACAGGTGGCAGAGCAGCAGAAGGAGGTACTGTCATTGGGGCCAACATATGTCATTCTTCTCCAGGTGAAAAGTCAGCTGTTTCAAGTGCAGAGACTGTTTCTGTAATAGACAAACTTGATAATGAATTAAAGGTAAATATTGGAACTTGAGTTAATATTCTCAGACTTTTATAAATATTACATGTTTATGTAATATGTGTCTCTCAGTCATGGGGACATTATAATATGATGGGTAACCCCACTATTCATTGGTAAATAGTAGCCCTAGAGTTAACAGTAAGTGGTGTCAACTAGCTGCCTTACCTCTTGTGCAGAAAACATTCAAGTAGCTTTGAGCAAAAGTTGACAAACAAACTATTTGTCATGTAATAACATTTTGGCAGAACTACTATACATATCCTGTTAAAATTCAAAATTTGTACATCATGTCTGTTAATGGCATAATTGGGTGTATGTCTTGGCAGAACTACTATACACATCCTGTTAAAATTCGAAATTTGTACATCATGTCTGTTAATGGCATAATTGGGTGTATGTCTTGGCAGAACTACACCCATTTAATTTTTAAAGGATTTCAAGTTATTTGCCACTAGGATAGGCTATACAATAATAATTGTATTTTTGACACAGAACTATACGAGCAGGTAAAAAGGTATTGTTTGGAGTGAAATCACTTTCAGTGGTATCAGCTGTGTAATAAATTTCTATTAAGTGCAGTACTTTATGTAATTTTACTTTTTTATCAATTTCAGATATAAAAATTCTAGAAGTATTTCTTAAATTGGTGAGCATCTATGAAGTTCTGATACGGTTTTACATTTACTCACATAAAGCTATCTCAATCTTTTTCTGCCCTCTAAACATTTCTAAAACATTTTCACACTCAATGCACCAGTCTATTCACCCCACCAATTCTGTACCACTATTGAACATGTATATATCATGTGATTACTCTCCACCAATAGTATTATGCCACCTATAATAGCTTCCATTGCTATTCTCACTCAGTCATCACTTTCTCGATTGGCACATCTTCATTTTGAAGTGTTTTTTCACATGTGGCTACCATTTATGATTGTGATTCTTTGCCATTGCAAATTTTTTTTTTCAACAGTTTTCTTTGACTGTCTTTGCAATCAATTGTTTCAATGATATTTTATTTATTGTTACTGAATTATATGAGAATTTTGTATGAAATCACGATTACAGGTATCAACTATGGTAGTTCCTGTTACAGCCAACAATACTACTGGTACAACTTCCCAGGAATCGGTTTCAGCTTTATCTGCAGAGGAGGTACAGGCTTAATTCACAGGGAGCTAGATTCGTATGTTTGGCTGGTAAATTCTCCTTTTCAACCTGACAATGTTGCTAAGGAAGAATACAATAAAAAAAGAAGACAATTTGGACTTTATTTTTGGGCACCTTCTTATTTTGGTCTGTCACACTCTACACCTTATTAGGAGATTTCACCATCCACACCCTTTTTACAGCTGGTTACTCAGGTTGATGGGTGAAACATATTAAATTTTTTCTGTATGTTGCCATACCTCCACATCATTCACTTTCATGGAGGTTTGTTCTTCTCCTCCTTTCTTCCTGTTGCTTCCAGATCTCTCAATGAATCGGTGGTAAGTTTTTTCGACTTGTACACCTCACACCTGGTTGCGATACCTGTGATAGGCATGGCTAAGATGTCCTTTTTTGTGACTTTGTCCTTCTTTATACACAGGAACATTAAATATTTCACATCATAAGTGCTCAGATTTTGGTTAGTTAGATATTTATGAGTCCTTTGTCATCTAAGCTAATTTAAATTTATTGTAAGTTAGATGTTGATTATTACTTTGTTTTCTAGGTAATTTTAGTGGGTTTACACTTTCGTTATTATTATTACTTGCTTTGTAGACTAGAAAAATTTCGATGGTTTGTCAGTGCGATATTAATAAGTACTTTTTTAACTAGATAGTTACATATCATTCCTGCTAGTAACATCTAATTCATTGTTCTGTCTGAATAATTTTTCATAATGGTTAAATATATGCCTTATAATCCTAATTTTTGTCAGTGTAAGACTTAAATATTTTTGCATTTCTACATTGTTTATGTGTTTCTTTCTTGTTCATAGGGCTGAGTTTTGCATCAGCTCCATTTCCTATGTTCTTCATACTAGAAACCAATTTTTCTCCTTGTACTCTACAATTCAGGCTTCATCCCCACAGTGCTCGCATTGTCAATAATTATTTATACATAGAGAGTGAGTGTTCTAATTTTGGGCCCTACCTTTTGGATTAACCTCAGTTCCTTATGGGTTTTGTTGAGTGGTAAGAACTTTTGCCGACATCTTCACTTGATAGGACTTTGCACTCATCATTACAAAAATGATTGGTTCCTGCTCGCTTCTTCCAGTTCACAGTCCAGAGACCACACTCTTATATTCCTACAACTAGTAGCATGGTAGGAATTCCTGATATAGGTGGATAAATCCATTCTTACCTCCACTCAATATCTTGTTCATTTAGGGGTTTTCTTCAGTTCCAACCTCAGTCAGGCCCAACCTTCTCCTCTTTGTCTTTGGGATATGGAGCAAACAGTCAACAAGGCCCTCACCTCATATTCTCTCACAGCTCGAGAGGTTCTATCTCTTTTGATATCTGGGCTTCCTTGGAAGCTCCCATTCTCGTGGATAGAGCTCATTTGCTTTCCCTTCAGTGGAACTTCTACTCAAATCCCTCGACTACCCTTCTACTCGTCCTTCCCCAGTCAGGGCTGACCTGGCTTCATGGCTAGATAGGGACCAGACCACAGTGGGGGTTCTGCTTTCTTCACCTTGTCCAGATTTACATTTGTTCACAGATGCACCTTTAGAGAGTTGGGGTGCTTTGCTCGACTCTTGGGAGATTTCCAGTCTCTGGTCAGTTGAGGAGTCTTTTCTCCATACCAGTATTCTCAAACTTATGGCAGTTTGTCGAGATTTGTCCCACTTCCTTCCTCTCCTGCAGGGGAGGGTGGTTATGGTGCACTCTGACAACTCCACAATGATAACTTATATCACCAAGTAAGGCAGTACCAAATCCAGGTATCTGTGCTTTCAGATACTGGATCTCCTTTTCTGGGTCCACAGTCACCACATGGGGGTATTAACTTGCCATTTTCCTGGTTGAAGATTATTTATCTAAACCCAAAAAGATTCTACCCACGGAGTGGTTCTTCGATCACAGGTCTTTTGGCGGTTGTGTTCTCAGATTGGAGGGGGCATCATATCTGTGCTTATCCTCCTATTCGACTCCTCTCCAGAGTTCTATCTCTAATTCAAACCACTCTGTGTCTAGTCCTCCTGGTGGCTTTGTATTGGCTTGCACAGTTTTCGTTCCTTGTACAACCTCCCCCTACCCTTATCTCTGTCTCAGTCTCTACTCTGTCGGACTTTGTTCATCTACACATCACCACTCTCTGTTTTCACACGTGGCTTTTGTCAGTTCCATTGTTTCAGCCCAGGGAGTGACTCCATGTGTTACATCTTTCTTTTCCAGATCCATAAGACCTTCTATGTCCATTTACCAAAGACGATGCTCTACCTTCTACCTTTGGTCTTTTTGATGTGGTTTCCATCCTTTCCACCCTTCTGTTCCTCATCTTTCCCAATTTTTCACCTAGTTGTTTGACAAAGACTTGTCCACTTCGACTGTGTCTAGATACTGGGTGGCCTTGTCAAACACTTTTTGTTTCTCAAATTATTGTAAGATTTTGTCTTCCCCTGTCATTTCTCTCTTTTTCCACTCCTTCTGGGTCATGCGTCTTCCACATTTCTTTGATTTCCCATCCTCTGTTTGAACTTTTGTCAACACATTCCATATACCATCTCTCCCACAAGGCCTATTTCCATCTCTTCCTTGTTTGCAGAGGTTGTTAATCACATATTTATGCCATTAATTTTACCAGAATCCTCTACCATGCCACTTATGTCATCCTGTATCCAGACTGATCCTTCCTTCCTAAGACCTATGCTGCCCATGAAAGCTGTTTGGTTTTCACACCCAATTCCTTACCTTTGAGATCGGCTTCTTTGTCCAGTTCACTCCTTATGTTGTTATGTGACACATGCTGCCTTCTTTAGGAGTTCACATTCCCAACTTTTTCTTCCCTGGAGTCCATCTGTTTCCCATTATTTATCCCCTGTCACACTAACTGGTTGGGTTTGTCAACTCCTTAGGCCAGCATATTCTGACTTATCCATGGAAGGTTGCTATATCCACATTTCTTCTAATCAAATTTGTCATATCACCATGTCTTTGGCTGCTTACCTTTGCCATCCGTTGGAGGAAATCGTTCAAGCCAGAATTCGGAAAAACTCCCAGTACTTTCTTCACTCGTTATCTGCACGATTTTGCTGTATCTTCTTCAGGTGGATATCGTCTCTCTCCCGTGGCAATTCTACACACATCCATTCGCCTTGAACTGGGGTAAGTCTTATCACATCATTTCATTTATGTTTTTCTTTTCAAAGACTTTCTTTTTTACCACTGCTAAAGGGATCCCACTCTGTGGCTGGTGTTGCCTGGTCAGGTATGCTTTGTCTGAAACCTGCACTATTTTATGGTTGTGCAATAATGTTCAATGTAGTGATGGGGTGTTCCGCAAGACCACTGGTGGTATGCTCAGTGGTGTATACATATGTTTCTCGGTATCCATATGCCTCACTCACTCCATCATGGACTTTCATGAGTAAAGCAGAAGGGGATTTCTGTCCATCTCTGCTGACCTCTTGATTGAATAAATGGGGGATGGGCTGCTTTTCAAAATATGGAATTGTGAACACCCATTGCACTTTCTCTAGTGTGACATTCCTCAGGACTCCCCACTGCTTTTACTTCCACCTTTTTCTCTGAGTGGAGCAAGGGAGTCCCTACTACTTCCCAGTTTCCAATCGCTAGGGTGATGGACCATGAAGGCTTCCTCCTGAATGCATTGTAGACTTTTAACTTACCATATATTCACTCAGTAAGAAGAGGGCAAAGCTGGTTTCCCTCCTTCCATTTCCCCTTGATGCTTATTCCCAGGTGGACAGTAGTTGGCTGGAGCAGAACCAGTCTACATAGGATCCTCCTCATAATACTGGGTTCTAGATGAAACTGCCATGTTCCTATGGTTGTGTGCAGTAGAGCCCCCCCCCCTTCTCATTAATTTCAATTGAAGGTAGTTCCTTCCCTGTTCCTATAGTTGAGTTTGGGGGACCTCGTCTGCTTCGTAATACCGGCAACAGGACATACATACACTGTTCCTACAGTGTATGTATGTGTGTTCCATATCCTCCTCATCATTCCTGATGCATGATGTCTCTTCCCTGCATTTACAGTTGTGTGAGTTAAGATTTGTACTCTTAATTCTGGTTAAAGATATTGCCTTGTTCTTACGGTTGAGTTGAGGCAATGCCATGACCCCATAATCCCAAGTTTGGTTTGTTGTACTTCTTGCTCCTACAGTGGTTTTGGGAGTTTGTCCTGTTTTGGCCGCATACTAAATTCCTCTTCGTAATCTATGGTTGGGGTTTATGTTACCATATATTCGTTTTTGTCCAAGTGATCCTCAACCTCCTAATGCCAAGGATGGGTTGTGGAATCTCATCTGCCTGGTTGAGGTTGTGTATATATACGTAGCTAAGTCAGGTTGTATTTTACTATGGATTGCACCTTTCAGAACAAACTACACTTGTGCACATCCTTTTTCTATACCTGTGTCAGGTTCATTTCCTTCTTCCAAGGCAAAGGGCATATCTGTTCCAGAAGTGGTGTAGTGCCCCACATGTGTGCTTTGGTTCCTCTTGGAGCACACCCATTCATTCTAGGTGGTTGCTTTCCACTTGGTTTCAATGTTGTGCGCCTACACCATCCCCTCCACCTTTGCAATGTGAGATTCTAGCTTTGTGTAAGAAGAGGTAAGACCATATTGGAAGTTAACATTTTCTTACACTGAAAATGTATTTCTGATAGGTGCTTACCTTTTCTCATACTCGTACCACTCTGCTTTCCTATTTTTTTAGATCCTGCCAGTACTCAAAAGTGAAGATTGAGCAGGGATAGCAGAAAGAGCTGGCTGTGCCAATATAGCTGGTGCAATACTACTGGTGGAAAGTAGTCACATGATATATACATGTTCAATAGTGACACAAAATTGGTGGGGTAAATAGACTAGTGTGCTGAGCATGAAAGTTTTTTTTGGAATTCTTAGAGGGCAGAATATAGCTTTGAATGAGAGGAGGTGATTTCCTATTGGAAATACATTTTTAGTGTTAGAAAATGTTAACTTTTGTTTTTATTGGAAGCTTTTAAATTTG